TGCTGATTGAAACAACCGCTATAGGACCTTAGTTTCACGATTTAACGACAAGATATGCATGTATGGACAAGATCTGCACGAGGTACTTAAAACTGTGCTTTGGATATATCGTATGAAAATCATTGCTCAGAAATTCTGAGCACAATATCATTTGCTTATATGAATCACAGCCACTGAACACTGAACTCTCAACGACGTCGTTTTGGTGATGACCAAAGAGTTAGACATATACGTAAGCAACTTGTTCACAACATTATGAACAAGCAAATTGTATACATGAAGGATTTTTGAGTTTATACAATTGACGAGGTTCATGTACAGTACGTTGAGTAGATTGGAATTGGGTCACCACAACGTCACTGTGCAGACGTCTTCGATGTCAGCCAATATGTGTGATCAAAAGGGCATGGAGTCAGTAACAGACCTTTGGATCAGCTACCTGGTGACATGTGGGTGTAGACACCGTTTCACCACACAGCAGGGAGACGTCATCACTTCCTGTCTGACGAACCCTTAGACTTTTCAAATGACTTTTGTTCATTAAACATGTCTTCACGCAATACTGTTATTGGCTATTTAACAGATGCGCATAATTTGACATACTACCTTTGTGATCCTTAACAAACTTTGAATAGTGTACATCTCGATTGGGCGAAAAGGGGCTCTTATGTACGAAGTTCATTGTCATCCTGAACGTGATGTGTAATCGTGACCGCCTAACTGATCAATTCCCACATGTTTCCTGGGCCGTTGAGGGAGTCCATCGTAAAACTTTACGTTACCGATGTTTATCAGGGTTTTTTTCGAATTAGTGAATCGGGTGGTTAGGCTCGTGACGGGTTTTACATCCAAAACAAGTAGTATGGATCACTGATCAGAGATCAGGTTATTGTGAAACCATACCTACTCTTACTGCACAACAAACCAGGGAACGCGTGTAAAAAAATCTAACTATTTCACCGGCGAGATGGAAGATAGTGTGTTTACCGTCGGAGTAATGAACGTTTTGCCCCTAATTGCATTCGACAGGTCGACAGATTCAGTGGAGAATGTGTCATGGCGGTGCGGTATCCAGCCAGAGGCGTAGCTACCATTATAAAAAAAAGCCCGGGCTTACACGTGATTTTGAAAGTGAAAGTTTGGCAAGCCCTCAATACTAACTAAATATAAGATTTGAAACCTATCGGGCTTACACGAAGAAATTGGCTTGCTACGCGCCTGCCAGCACACAAAGATCTGATTAAGTGGTGGTTCAGGGGAATTTGACAGCAAATCTGTACATCAACGAAGTCCTTGGACGTCTAATGCTTCCGATTATGGGGTATCCTCCCATTTGTCACACAGCTAATCCCCTGCCTGTTACCTCTTAATGAAATTGGAATGGCCCATAAAATAAATAACAGAACAGAACAGAACGTTATTACACTCAGGCCGATATCATCGGCAGATCGGCATATAAGGTACAAATGACAATAAATGATAATATTATGGTAGTAGTATAATGGTAGTTAGCCGGAAAATTTTACAATTTGCATGATATATTTACAGAATGCTCTGAGATTTTCATAACAGATACCTTTTACAAGTAAAGAGTGATTTAAATTTTAACATATTTAGAGAATATGTTTGACCCTTTTTGGAATTTTCAATCTCTGGGCTCCAGATTTGAATTGAATGAGCTGTATTTTTTATCCAGGGAGATTAAATAGGAGACTGTGAAAGCCATACATAACCAATGTTATTAAAAATATTCTCTGTACATGAAATCCAGCTACAGTTGTGAATACCTTCATTATGAAGATTATATACAATAGAGCAAAATATTAAAACTGTTTGTAAATAATTTAGACCAAGAAGTTAACATAAGAGTTTTAACATCAAAAGATACTGGGACTCTACCAAATTCACCATAAAGCATATACAACCGGGTCCTTTTCTTTAATACTTTTCTCATATAACATATATGTAATTTTCAATTTGTTTTGATTTAACATATCCCCAAATTTCACAACGATACAACAAAATTGGTTTCACCATTGAATCAAAGAGATATAGTTGACATTGTATTGATAAGTTTAACATACGACAAAATACATGGCTTTAGAAGCTTGTTGACAAAGATTTGATATAGATAATCTGAAAGAACATTTTCTATCAAAAATAACTCCAAAATATTTGTACACAATATCAGTTTTCCTTAGGTTCAACTAACTGGTTGAAATATCCAGTTGGGACATTCCCATTTATATTTGGGTGTTGCCCTAATTAATCTCTAGTCCAGTGTCTGACAATTGGGATGTCTAACTAATGATAGTAAACCGATTAGGGACCGACAGAGGGAGTTGTTAGAGCATGACAACGCTACTTCACGGTCCGCTACCTTGCCAACGAATTCTAACGTCAATGTCTTGCCATGGCCTTGCCGATCATCAGATCTAAACCCGATAGAACACATATGGGATGAACTCGATCGACGTGTACGTCAACGTCAAAACTTCCAAAAGTGACCATCGCATTGCAGGAAGAGTGGGGAAGAATTTCGCAAGATCGACTTCCTCGACTTATCCAGTCTGCCGAGACGGTGCCGAGAAGCAATTGCTGACAATGGTGGCCATACAAAGTACTGACTTTGACGCCATCTTGTGGACTCAAGTAAACAGAAACACAGATAAAAACTGTTGTTGTGTTGGCGAACTCTTTGTCTATAGACGTGTAAATTTTCACCATTTTGCCATTAAAATTACATGAAATAATTGCTCTTAAACTAGCGCAATATATTCTTCTAAAATGTCTTATGCGTTCCTTTTTTTTGAAGAGTGTATGTCATCGATATGCTTGATGTTCATCGTTTGGCCGAAGTACCTTTTTGATGATGTCAAATTCGTATGCATAAAGAAACAGATCATCAAGGGGGAGAGTTAGTGCCCATTGGGAAGTCATTATGTCACAGTCATCTGCTTATGTGGTGTGTACTGTTGGGTGTGTTAGAATTATGTATTTTCAATGCAATATATTTGAAGAATAAGATTATCCTCGTGCCACCTCATGACTGACGTCCATAAAAATAACACGTTGATATATACTAGGCAGTAAAAGAAACGTCAGTTTGGAATTTTCCTTCGCAAAAACGGATTACTGTAAACTCATTTAATGTTTTGATTGTATATTTTTGATAACATCTCCAACTTTACCTGAGCAAAGACATTCCTTCCCAAACTCAGAATGGAACCCAGAAAATGGTCTCAAAAACGCAACCTGATCTCGGAGATGGTACGGTGTTCTCCATGTGTTTCATGCAACTCATGCTGCACGTGCTGTTCACAAGGACCAACCCTATAAAATGCACCCCCAAACCAGGTTGAAACATTCACATTACAACGTCAGCAGGATGCCGCGACTCACGACAGCTCAGAAGAACCAGGCGCTAGGAAGACTTGAAGCTGGCCACACCGCACAAGCCGTTGCCAATCACTTCCAGGTCAACGTTTGGACCAACTACAGGCTGCAGCAACGTTTCCGGGTCACCAACACCACAAATAATCGCCCCGTACTGGCAGACCAAAGGTGACCACAAGACGAAAAGACCGCCATGTTGTGCGACAGCATGTACAGAATCCCTTCATGCAGGCATCCGAAACAGCACGCCAGACAGTGGGAACACACGGAAGACCAATCAGTACTGATACAGTACGCCGACGTCTTAACAGCGGGAACCTCCATTCCCGTAGACCTTAGCGTGGACCTATCCTCACCCCTCGACATCGGCGTGAACGTCTAGAGTTTGCCCTGCAACACCAAAACTGGTGATAAAGGCAATACAGAACTGTTCTGTTCACAGATGAGAGTCGGTACTGCGTATCAACTGCAGATGGCAGAACAAGAATATGGCGACGACGTGGCCAGCGTTACTCAGACCAATCTCTTCTGGAAAGAGACTCATGGGGAGGTGCAAGCATCATGGTATGGGGTGGAATAGGCCTGAACCAGAGAGTGGGTCCTGTGGTGTTGCAGAACCTTGGTCCAGGGAGAGGAGGCGGCATCACAGCGGTGCGCTACATCGACCAAGCTCTCAGACCCCACGTCATACCACATTTCGCGCGTCACCGGAACAGTCTACAGTTATCCGTTTCTGCGAAGGAAAATTCCAAACTGACGTTTCTTTTGCTGCTTAGTATATATTGGAAATAGTTACTTATGTTCTTGCGTGTGGATGGCATATGGTTACTTGTTTTTAATACAAATATTTAATATTCTAGTTATTTTACTATCCTTTCTTGGCAGATATTTATATCGTTTAAGTTTATTTAGTTAATATTGCTTTCATAGTCATAAAATGTCATAATATTGTCGATATTAACTCACTCACACACTTTATTGGAAATATTTAAGGAATGCACATTAAAATCAATCTTCAGTTATCAATATTATTTTGTTTTCTATTTGTGACCGGTTTGAAGCACATGGGCCTAAAATGAGAAAGTCTGATCATATCGTTTACGATTTAAATAAGCAACCGTATCACCGGTATTCATCACCGTCAATCTCAACGTTTGATGCTGTTGCAGATACAACCGGAACATCTCGTAGCATGTGGTTTTCCTCTTTACGGAAGTATAATGTCAAAAATAACAGTTTTGTATTTAGAGTAAACACATAAACTGCTTTCTCTGACAGCATGGTGTTTTAAACTTTGAATACTACAGATGATTCTGTTGCAGCTCTTAGTGATGGCATTTTTGTTCTAACATTGGAATACTACAGATGATTCTGTTGCAGCTCTTAGTGATGGCATTTTTGTTCTAACATTGGAATACTACAGATGATTCTGTTGCAGTTCTGACTAATGGCATTTTTTTTAACGTTTTAATACTACAAATGGTTCTGTTGCAGCTCTGAGAGTATTTTTGTTCTAACGTTGGAATACTACAGATGATTCTGTTGCAGCTCTGATTGATGACATTTTTATCTGGAATACTACAGATGATTATTATTTGTTGCAGCTATGATAGCCTTGGTGTACACGTTTGGAGGATTTCACGAAATGTCTGCAACAGATGTTGGTGACTACATCGTTTACGCCAGCGTCCTGACGTTCGCAAACTCCCTCGTCAACCCCATCATCTACGCTTTCAAGTTGCCGCCAGTCAGGAGGAGACTACTCCGCTTTCTTGGCAAGAGCAACAACTCTTCAAATCCAACCACTAGTGGAACCGTACAGACAATTGCCACCGATATGGATTAAAGGGAATCGATGTTTATTTCGAAACAAAAGACAGTGTGTAGAACGAAATGAACAATGCTACAGATCATTGACTAATATTTCCTTAAAACGGCTTTGAAACTCAATGTTTGGATTATATTACCTGCTTTGTGGCAGTTTATCAGCCATGAAATGAATAACAATTAAACTTGTCAGTTTTTGACTGATGACTCATCACCTTCAATTATTATGCATTTATTCCGCGTATGTAACACATTAAAATACCGTGCAGTACTACTAAGTAAATGGTAAGAGATAGACTTTCGCAAAATTAACAGTGGTACGTTGTTGGCATGCACGACACCGGGATGTCCTGTCGCAACATCGGTACAAACTTGAACATTAACCACACGGTTATTCATTCGGTGTGTGACGGACCATGTGGACAATGATGAAGGGAAGACCTGGAAGACCTGTGACAGTGATGACCGAATCCTAGTTCCTCTTGCAAGACCCAATCCAATGACCTATGAACTGCACCGGCAGTGGAGAGTGGGAGTGAGACTCTCCACCAGTCTCATTAGATGCTTGCTCCAAGTATGTGTCGCTTGTGACCAGATCTTCATGATCAAAGGGGGGCTGAAGATATGAAAATCGGAAGGCTCCGGGAGATTTGTTTGCAGATACTTGGTGCTTGGGTGAACTCACATGAAAATGTATGCCAAGTTTAAATGTTTATTATTACTGTTTATTGAATGTATAGTACGTGTCAAGAAGTTTGTTTTGAGTGCACGCTTGTGAAAAATGCGTTGAATATGTTATTGAAAGACGAGCACTTGTAATGTATGCACATCGAGTCCATTGTTTAGTAAGTTGATGTACGTTTCATAGAGCATAATGATAAAGGCATTTGAAGTCAGTTTAAAGTGTACTACAAGCGCCCACAGGGTTTGCTATTTTCTTTACTGTACTTCAAATTCTGTATTTCTTTCCTTGTATTACTTAGTCTTAGCAGGTCTGAATTTGAACAAATGCATATTTCTATATCTGTTATATGAATACTTTTTCTTTACATCTTGTTGTTCGTACATTTCCGTTTATGTCGGAGATTATTGCCTATTGAGTGAGTGAGTTGGGTTTTACGCCTCTTTCAGCAATATTCCAGCAATGTCACGGCGGCGGACACCAGAAATGGGCTTCACACATTGTGCCCATGTGGGGAATGGACTCCGGGTCTTCGGCTTGACGAGCGAACGCTTTCACCACTAGGCTACCCCACCGTCCATCAATTGTTTTAACTTTGTTGAAAATACAACATATTAACGAAGAATATGCTTTGTGTTTGTGTTAAGAAATACGGATAACCGTTTATAACAAGAACTGAGTAGTCTGCACACCAAGCACCCGCTAGTTGGGACGCGGGTTAAAATGGCCCGTAGCGACGCGACCACTGTTTTGCCTGTCCAATAATCTATCATATATAGCCCGCTTTTGAAGTGGAATAGTGTTGTATTAGAGCAATCAACATAATTATTAACACTTCATCACCATAATTAAGACATGGAAACCATATATTTACATGAAATACGCAGCCCCTCTAAATCGGAGAACCTTACAATCACAAAACTATGCGTGACGCTCCCGCCACCGGCAAGTGTAATGTGGACCGCGACTCGGCACTGGTTTCCTGTGATTTGTTTGATTTGGCCGCATCCAGCAATATTTCAGCTATATGGCGGCGGTTTGTAAATAATCGAGTCATGAGCATCGGTCTACGCAATTCGGATGCAATGACATGTGTCAACCAAGTAAGCGAGCATGACCACCCAATCCCGTTAGTCTCCTCTTACGACAAGCATGGTTGCTTAACCCGGATCTTCACGGGTTACTGGTAACTGACGACAATCCAATTCCATTGGATCTGGTTAAATTTGACAGGTATGCTTACCCATGGTAACTAAAAGGTAACATTTCTAGGTGAAGGCATGTGTTACGAATCAGACAAACCATCCTTCAGACAATCCTCTTATCTGTAGCAACTGCTGTGGCAACAGTCCCTATTCACCAAAGGGATACCCTACTTGGAAACAAGAATTCTACATTTCGCCCGTAGGACATGGACGTTATATCTTTTTGAGAAGCAAAGAAGCCTCACTCAGTGACAGCCAGGACCGATAAATTCTTCTTTTGTTCTCTGCGGATATCCAAGCCTAAACATGTAATTCAGTTGGTTGTGAGGCCAACTGCACCAGGGCAAACACTGCTGTACTTTGTTATGTACTGCAGTCCACGTTAGGCTCACACAAACGACCTCTCATTCACAAACAGTCTCCATATCAAACACTTATTCAATCACTCATATCTTGGATTTATCTTGGATTTATCTTTATTTCAGAAACAATAACCTGCAAAAAGTAGAACGACCTACACCAGAATTAAATTAGACTTAAACGTTATCAGTCGGAGAATATTCGATTAACGAAATCCAAAGTCGCTCAGTTGTAAACTGAAGACTGTTCACTTCTTTGTTCAGGCACACTTAAGATAAGACATGGTTCGGTATTCAAAAACTATATTAGTAAGTATGTAAAAGCAATTATATACATACAGATATTATTACAATTTAAAACACCAGCTAGAAAAATAATATTTACAATTTTACACATGGGCTATAAATATACAATTTACAACTGAAACACTGTAAGCTATAAGCAACACAAACAATTAGTTCTACACAATCGTCATACATATTTACAGGTTTTGATAAAGACCAGAATATTTTAAGTAATGTATTATTTGTTCAGTCACTCTCTTCCAGGATTTATCTTTATTTCAGAAACAAAAACTATTTAAAAATCCCAATTAAATGAAATTTAAACGTTATCAATCTGAGAAATTTCAATTCACGAAATCCATATTCCCCCAGCTTCTTAGTTCAGGCACACATAAGATAAGACATGGTTCGGTGATCGAAAACTATATTAGTAAGTATATATAGCCTAATTTCTACACACATATTAATTTCAATTTAAAACACAGTCAAGATACTTATTTTTTACAATTTAAAACACCGGCTAGAACAATATTATTTAAAATTTTCACGTGGGCTATAACAATACAATTTACAACTGAAACACTGTAAGCTATAAGCAAACAAACTATTAGCTCTACAAAAACATATTTACAGTATTTGATATATTTCATGTAGTGTATTATGGTACACCAGCTCACACGGGTAAAGCGATCTTTTACTCATGATGATGTGAATCCCTCACACTGATAATTGGCTTGAAATCATTGTATGGGATAAGCAGTTGTAATAATGGTTTCTCCAGAGCCGTCTCAGCTCCAGCATCGGCTTTTGTGTTACCTGCTAAACCTACATGACTTGATAGGCTCCAAGAGAGATGTCACATAGGCGAATTGATAAATAGTGGTAAACTTCTAAAATGTCGTGAATGATCGGGTGATACTCGACAATGCATCTGATAAGATGATCATTTTTTAACAATGAAGCAGTGAAGATGGAACTAATGTCGAGGATTCTCGAGGAGACAGACTTGGATCCAGTGACAGTAACACTGGAAGCTGCCACCATACTTGGATAAGTCTGTAAAAATGAGCTGTGGGTGATATACTTTGAGCGTAACTGGTTGTATTCTTGTTGGAATACAAAAGGATCTGTTCTGATGTTTTAAGGTTTGGTAAGGTCTACCTCTGGCTTCATCATTTACGGGGCGGAAAAGACAGAAGCGGTAAGAAGGTATGATATCGAGGTAAATTTTACCTGTATTAATTAATTACTGAATTACTGAATTATTGAATTGATGAAGTGAGAGGGGTGTATGTTGGGTTGTTCCTCAGCCTCCACTTACAGAGTAGAGCTTAATCCTTGTTGGTGGATAAAGTCTATTTCTTTTCTTAATTGCTCTAGTGAGATTTATATAGTATGCCGACTTGCAGGGTGTCGTGATCTTTAAATAATTAGGCAGAATGGAGCCCATTTGTACTTGCAGTTGTTGTTTATAAACTGAGATATATACTGAGGTAATCAACCACTCAGCCAGTTCGAACAATGATTTGTTTGTTTTTGTTTTGTTTGATTTTTATATTTATATTATTTTTGTTTGTTTGTTGTTTTGTTTTTGTTTTGTTGTTGTTTGGTTTTGTTTGTTTATTTATTTTTTAATTATTATTATTTTAATTTGTTTTTGGGGGTGGGGTGGGTGGGCGAGTTAATGATATAGGGCGATAATTGTTCTTCAGCTAAGAAACGGTGCCAGACCTCCACCAGGGAAGAGAAGTTGCACTGAAGCATGCCTTGGAAATGTACAAGAGACTCAGTATCACATTTAACTGGTAAGTGTGAAAGGTGTGCTGTGAAATATTGATGTATAATATGTGATATGATGTTGATGTTGTATTAAGTTGTATAAATGGATAACTTGTATATATATAATTAATAAATACAGACAAACATTGAATCAAACGCAGTAGCATTTTATCCCATTTGGCCCCGGATACTATTTCACAGGGAAACAAATAAGGGAATAAAGGGGATTATCACACCCCAGTGATTTCTTCTACTGAGACAATAGGAGTTGGGTAAGTTGGAACACCCCGATAGATCAGTCTGATCCCAACCAGGCTTTGGCATAGGATTGATAATGGCAATACCCCACGAAAGAGGGAATTTTGGGGTGAATCATTTCTACGTTTTGAACAGAGTTGCGCGGGAATAAATTTAGTTAAATACCTCATACAGGACTGATGAATAATTTGTTTAAAAGTAATCTTGCCCTGATGCTTGTCAGTTTAAAAGTATTTAGGTTGTTCGTTCCAGGATGTCGGCGGTAGTGCTGTCAGAGGGAATCAAGGGAAGGTCAAACTACAATGTGACAAGCATTAAGGAAGGGGTATTTTCAGTGCATCAACAACCTCCGACCCACAACGTCCTTAATACATTACCAGTCCCTTGCTGATATTTCAGCTTTACGTTTTGTCTCTTTTCCCAACGAAATTGTTAAAGACGCGCTTAATTGTTGGTGCTCTTCATATCAGACAATAACTAATCTTCCATCCAAGGTAATGTCCTACTCAAGTATACATTTGCATCATACGTTGTCAATTAACTTAAATCAAACATAACTTGAGAGGATAATATACTTCAAACATCAGATTCCAAATCTTTTTAAAGAAAATATTAGTCCAAAACCTATGGCAATGTTCATTTCCTCTTACACACACTCCTTTCAGTTAGAAATAAACATCGATTCATTTTAATCCATATCGATGGCAATTGTCTGTATGGTTCCACTAGTGGTTGAATTTGAAGAGTTGTCGCCCTTGCCAAGGAAACGGAGTAGTCTCCTCCGGACTGGCGGCAACTTGAAAGCGTAGATGATGGGGTTGACGAGGGAGTTCGCGAACGTCAGGACGCTGGCGTAAATGATGTAGTCACCAACTGCGTATGCAGACATTTCGTGAAATCCTCCAGACGTGTACACCAAGGCTATCATAGCTGCAACAAATGATAATCATCTGTAGTATTCCAACGTTAGAACCAACATGTCATCGATCAGAACTGTAACAGAATCATCTGTAGCATTCCAACCCAGCATTAGAACAAAACAGTATCAGAGCTGCAACAGAATCACCTGTAGTATTCCAACCCAGCATTAGAACAAAATAGTATCAGAGCTACAGCATATTCCAGCGTTAAACAAAATAGTATCAGAGCTGCAACAGAATCACCTGTAGTATTCCAACCCAGCGTTAGAACAAAATAGTGGTATCAGAGTATTCTGCAACAGATCATCACCTGTAGTATTCCAACCCAGCGTTAGAACAAAACAGTATCAGAAACAGAATCACCTGTAGTATTCCAACGTATTCCAACCCAGCGTTAGAACTGCAACAGAATCACCTGTAGTATTCCAACCCAGCGTTAGAACAAAACAGTATCAAGCTGCAACAGAATCACCTGTAGTATTCCAACCCAGCGTTAGAACAAAATAGTATCAGAGCTGCAACAGAATCACCTGTAGTATTCCAACCCAGCGTTAGAACAAAATGGTATCAGAGCTGCAACAGAATCACCTGTAGTATTCCAACGTTAGAACCAACATGTCATCGATCAGAACTGTAACAGAATCACCTGTAATTCAACCCAGCGTTAGAACAAAACAGTATTCCAACCCATTCCAACCCAGCGTTAGAACAAAACAGAATCAGAGCTGCAACAGAATCATCTGTAGTATTCCAACCCAGCGTTAGAACAAAATAGTATCAGAGCTGCAACAGAATCACCTGTAGTATTCCAACCCAGCGTTAGAACAAAACAGTATCAGAGCTGCAACAGAATCACCTGTAGTATTCCAACGTTTGAACCAACATGTCATCGATCAGAACTGTAACAGAATCACCTGTAGTATTCCAACCCAGCGTTAGAACAAAACAGTATCAGAGCTGCAACAGAATCACCTGTAGTATTCCAACCCAGCGTTAGAACAAAATGGTATCAGAGCTGAGCAACAGAATCACCTGTAGTATTCCAAGCATTAGCGTTCAGAAACAGAATCATTAGAACAAAATGGTATCAGAGCTGCAACAGAATCACCTGTAGTATTCCAACCCAGCGTTAGAACAAAATGGTATCAGAGCTGCAACAGAATCATCTGTAGTATTCCAACCCAGCGTTAGAACAAAATAGTATCAGAGCTGCAACAGAATCACCTGTAGTATTCCAACCCAGCGTTAGAACAAAATAGTATCAGAGCTGCAACAGAATCACCTGTAGTATTCCAACCCAGCGTTAGAACAAAACAGTATCAGAGCTGCAACAGAATCACCTGTAGTATTCCAACCCAGCATTAGAACAAAACAGTATCAGAGCTGCAACAGAATCACCTGTAGTATTCCAACGTTAGAACCAACATGTCATCGATCAGAACTGTAACAGAATCACCTGTATTATTCCAACCCAGCGTTAGAACAAAACAGAATCAGAGCTACAACAGAATCATCTGTAGTATTCAAACCCAGCGTTAGAACAAAATAGTTTCGGAGCTGCAACAGCATCACCTGTAGTCTTCCAAGACAGCATTAGAACAAAACAGTATCAGAGCTGCAACAGAATCACCTGTAGTATTCCAACCCAGCGTTAGAACAAAATAGTATCAGAGCTGCAACAGAATCACCTGTAGTATTCCAACCCAGCGTTAGAACAAAAAAGTATCAGAGCTACAAGAGAATCACCTGTAGTATTCCAACGTTAGAACCAACATGTCATCGATCAGAACTGTAACAGAATCACCTGTAGTATTCCAACCCAGCGTTAGAACAAAATAGTATCAGAGCTGCAACAGAATCACCTGTAGTATTCCAACGTTAGAACCAACATGTCATCGATCAGAACTGTAACAGAATCACCTGTAGTATTCCAACCCAGCATTAGAACAAAACAGTATCAGAGCTGCAACAGAATCACCTGTAGTATTCCAACCCAGCGTTAGAACAAAATGGTATCAGAGCTGCAACAGAATCACCTGTAGTATTCCAACCCAGCGTTAGAACAAAATGGTATCAGAGCTGCAACAGAATCACCTGTAGTATTCCAACCCAGCGTTAGAACAAAATAGTATCAGAGCTGCAACAGAATCACCTGTAGTATTCCAACCCAGCGTTAGAACAAAATGGTATCAGAGCTGCAACAGAATCACCTGTAGTATTCCAACGTTAGAACCAACATGTCATCGATCAGAACTGTAACAGAATCACCTGTAGTATTCCAACCCAGCGTTAGAACAAAATAGTATTAGAGCTGCAACAGAATCACCTGTAGTATTCCAACGTTTGAACCAACATGTCATCGATCAGAACTGTAACAGAATCACCTGTAGTATTCCAACCCAGCATTAGAACAAAACAGTATCAGAGCTGCAACAGAATCACCTGTAGTATTCCAACCCAGCGTTAGAACAAAATGGTATCAGAGCTGCAACAGAATCACCTGTAGTATTCCAACCCAGCGTTAGAACAAAACAGTATCAGAGCTGCAACAGAATCACCTGTAGTATTCCAACCCAGCGTTAGAACAAAATGGTATCAGAGCTGCAACAGAATCACCTGTAGTATTCCAACGTTAGAACCAACATGTCATCGATCAGAGCTGTAACAGAATCACCTGTAGTATTCCAACCCAGCGTTAGAACAAAACAGTATCAGAGCTGCAACAGAATCACCTGTAGTATTCCAACCCAGCGTTAGAACAAAATGTAGTATCAGAGCTGCAACAGAATCACCTGTAGTATTCCAACGTTAGAACCAACATGTCATCGATCAGAACTGTAACAGAATCACCTGTAAAATTCCAAACCAGCGTTAGAATTCCAACCCAGCGTTAAAAACAAAAGTATCAGAGCTGCAACAGAATCACCTGTAGTATTCCAACCCAGCGTTAGAACAAAACAGTATCAGAGCTGCAGCAGAATCACCTGTAGTATTCCAACCCAGCGTTAGAACAAAATAGTATCAGAGCTGCAACAGAATCACCTGTAGTATTCCAACCCAGCGTTAGAACAAAACAGTATCAGAGCTGCAACAGAATCACCTGTAGTATTCCAACCCAGCGTTAGAACAAAATGGTATCAGAGCTGCAACAGAATCACCTGTAGTATTCCAACCCAGCGTTAGAACAAAATAGTATCAGAGCTGCAACAGAATCACCTGTAGTATTCCAACCCAGCGTTAGAACAAAACAGTATCAGAGCTGCAACAGAATCACCTGTAGTATTCCAACGTTAGAACCAACATGTCATCGATCAGAACTGTAACAGAATCACCTGTAGTATTCCAACCCAGCGTTAGAACAAAATAGTATTAGAGCTGCAACAGAATCACCTGTAGTATTCCAACGTTTGAACCAACATGTCATCGATCAGAACTGTAACAGAATCACCTGTAGTATTCCAACCCAGCATTAGAACAAAACAGTATCAGAGCTGCAACAGAATCACCTGTAGTATTCCAACCCAGCGTTAGAACAAAATGGTATCAGAGCTGCAACAGAATCACCTGCAGTATTCCAACCCAGCGTTAGAACAAAATGGTATCAGAGCTGCAACAGAATCACCTGTAGTATTCCAACCCAGCGTTAGAACAAAATAGTATCAGAGCTGCAACAGAATCACCTGTAGTATTCCAACCCAGCGTTAGAACAAAATAGTATCAGAGCTGCAACAGAATCACCTGTAGTATTCCAACCCAGCGTTAGAACAAAATGGTATCAGAGCTGCAACAGAATCATCCAGCGTTAGCGTTAGAACAAAATCAGAGCTACAACAGTATCAGAGCTGCAACAGAATCACCTGTAGTATTCCAACCCAGCGTTAGAACAAAATGTCATCAGAGCTGCTGTAACAGAATCACCTGTAGTATTCCAACCCAGCGTTAGAACAAAACAGTATCAGAGCTGCAACAGAATCACCTGTAGTATTCCAACCCAGCGTTAGAACAAAATGGTATCAGAGCTGAACAAAATAGTATCAGAGCTGCAACAGAATCACCTGTAGTATTCCAACGTTAGAACCAACATGTCATCGATCAGAACTGTAACAGAATCACCTGTAGTATTCCAACCCAGCGTTAGAACAAAAATCAGTATCAGAGCTGCAACAGAATCACCTGTAGTATTCCAACCCAGCGTTAGAACAAAATAGTCAGAGCTATCAGATCACTGCAACAGAATCACCTGTAGTATTCCAATTCCAACCCAGCGTTAGAACAAAACAGTATCAGAGCTGCAACAGAATCACCTGTAGTATTCCAACCCAGCGTTAGAAAAAACGTTAGAACAAAATAGTAACAGAATCACCTGTAGTATTCCAACCCAGCGTTAGAACAAAAGAATCAGAGCTGCAACAGAATCACCTGTAGTATTCCAACCCAGCGTTAGAACAAAATGGTATCAGAGCTGCAACAGAATCACCTGTAGTATTCCAACCCAGCGTTAGAACAAAATAGTATCAGACAACAGAATCACCTGTAGTATTCCAACCCAGCGTTAGAACAAAACAGTATCAGAGCTGCAACAGAATCACCTGTAGTATTCCAACGTTAGAACCAACATGTCATCGATCAGAACTGTAACAGAATCACCTGTAGTATTCCAACCCAGCGTTAGAACAAAACAGAATCAGAGCTACAACAGAATCATCTGTAGTATTCCAACCCAGCGTTAGAACAAAATAGATTCGGAGCTGCAACAGAATCACCTGTAGTATTCCAACCCAGCATTAGAACAAAACAGTATCAGAGCTGCAACAGAATCACCTGTAGTATTCCAACCCAGCGTTAGAACAAAATAGTATCAGAGCTGCAACAGAATCATCTGTAGTATTCCAACCCAGCGTTAGAACAAAATAGTATCAGAGCTGCAACAGAATCACCTGTAGTATTCCAACCCAGCGTTAGAACAAAACAGTATCAGAGCTGCAACAGAATCACCTGTAGTATTCCAACCCAGCGTTAGAACAAAATAGTATCAGAGCTGCAACAGAATCACCTGTAGTATTCCAACGTTTAGAACCAACATGTCATCGATCAGAACTGTAACAGAATCACCTGTAGTATTCCAACCCAGCATTAGAACAAAACAGTATCAGAGCTGCAACAGAATCACCTGTAGTATTCCAACCCAGCGTTAGAACAAAATAGTATCAGAGCTGCAACAGAATCACCTGTAGTATTCCAACCCAGCGTTAGAACAAAATGGTATCAGAGCTGCAACAGAATCACCTGTAGTATTCCAACGTTTGAACCAACATGTCATCGATCAGAACAGTAACAGAATCACCTGTAGTATTCCAACCCAGCGTTAGAACAAAATGGTATCAGAGCTAAAGTGAGTTAATATTTTATGTCACATGGGTAGTATTTCAGTCATATCGTGACAAACGCATCTTACACAAACACAACACTTTGTGAGATTATGTAGTTCAGGTGATAATTATGTAAACATAAAAAACTATGTAAGTCCAATATCTTCATCCAGTTAAGATTTGCTGGATTGAATCTAACCTTATTGGGTTCATCAATTTCAGAAAACTACGTTAGTGACGCTGATAACATAAGTGAAAACGCCACTGTCTTACCTAGAGGTGAAAACGAGATGATGTAAGTTCCAATCAGGATGACCACAGTTTTGGTGAACTTCATGCTCCCAGAGTTCATGTTCCCTGTGACGTCAGTAGCCGCGATAGCGCGGGAATGTCTCCTAACGACCAGAAATATCTTCATGTACAGGACACAAATCACAACAAATGGTAAGACAATAAGCGACAGTCCCATCTGTATGTATCCCGCCGTTAAGACTCCTAGCAGGGAACATGCAGGTTCTGAAGGTGCTGGTGTATCGCTCCAGCCGTAGGCCGGGATGAGGCCGAGGTTGACGGAGAAGACCCAGATGGCCGCCGACATGATGGACACGGACTTCCGGGTGATGACATCCTGGTAACGGTAGGGAAGACAATCTTCACGAACCTGTCAAGTGTCAGGAGGGCCAGATGATAGACAGAACAACACACGAAGGTGAAGACGACGCCAAGACGAACCAGGCATTCTGTGAAGTTCTGAAAGTTGATCAAGTTGTATCCAACTGTGTGAATGACAAGGACCCCTGTGAGCATGTCGGTGACCGCAAGATGACACATCACCAGATCCGTGGCCTCCAGACTCGTCCTTCTCACCAAGGTATCCAGGACAAAGGCGTTCGAGACCAGGGTAAGAATTCCAATCAGTAAGATAACGATGTTTATTGCAAGCAGAGGTGCGGTTACCTCGTATCCATTCAAGCTTGTAAATAAGACTAGCGATGTACTTGCATCAGAGTTAGCCATGACACTTGGACATCCACTACAGAGTACCGCTATCTCCTTTGTGAACCGAACTGGACTTTACTGTCGAATTATACTATAGTCTCATTATACTTGAATATAAAAAAACCTGTGATCAATGAAACCACTAACGGACGTCAATACATGGTCTTTCGGTACACATGTTAGATTTTACCTGTAACCTTTGAAAATCGACTGATTGCTGGAAACAAATGGCTGCTCCGATCATCATTAACATTTTATCAATTTGCAACACGGCAATCAGCTTGACACAAATATTCAACAGATATCGGTTACATTATGATTGTATCACAGATTCATGTGCGTAGTACATGGGGTTAGGGTGACATTGTCTTCAAATGCGACGTAATTCGTTCTGCGAAATTGCGTCCCTGGGATAGGCTAGACAAACGTTTGTTCTCTCAGATCTCGATTCATGCTGATTATGTTTCTTGGTACCCGTGAAGATCCGGGTTAGAATATTGATCTTCAGTAACCAATGCTTGTCGTAAGAGGCGACTAACGGGATCAGGTGGTAAGGCTCGCTGACTTGACTTGACACATGTCATCGGTTCCCATGTGCGCAGATCGATGTTCATGCTGTTGATCACTGGATTTTCTGGTCAGGACTCGATTATTTACAGACCGCCGCCATATAGCTGGAATATTGCTAAACTCACTATGTGTCTTGGTATGGCAGCTTCCTACACCACACACCCCTGGTATGACACCTGTATCACTTTCCTCCCACAACAAGCTGACACAAAGACAGCGTTTGACCCAACTATTGGAGACACGGCCTATTTATAATTCTGACAGAAGGACTATTACCATATGAATAGCTATGGATTAGTGGTCGTTAAAGAATGCAAGCGGTCGGGTCTAACGTACGGGTGTCAATTTGGGCATACATCGAACAATGTTGTTTAAGGTTTAAAAGTAGTTTTGTGTTTGAGCATCTACGGAGCAATGCATTGTGACCCATAAGTATTGTTTCGGTTGATAATTTGCCGTGACAAAAGGTTTAAGAGTCCCATTTGAACCAACAAAATAGAACACAGACAAGTCTAAAATATTCAATTGTATTTTGAATAAACCATGAACAAGGTTACAATGAATGACAATACAGATTTCTTGTACAATGCAGTTGAGTCACAAATCGAAAATATTGTGTCACAGATCTAAAACATTATCTCACCAGAGTCTTGACATTCACAGTGAGAAGCGATATACTAATGGAAGGTTGTTGGCAATGACAACAGTTGAATAGACAAGCACGGTCGGTCTTGAAACGTTAATAAACTGGTTGATAGCAGACAGATGTGCATAAATCCGAAGTCCTCAAAGTTCTGTGTTAGTACGGTCACACAACTCAACAATCATGATTTATATAGCTTTTACACAATTCTCGAGCATACTAGCAAAGTTAGGCTACGTCAATATCCTCTCAGAACGTAAAAGAATTACATCGAAAACACAAGACACCACGAGAAGCAAACAAGCAAGTCTGCCAGCCAAGGGAAGGTAACTCCAAAGTGCTATCTCAAAAGGCCCTACTCTCATAACACTCTCCCCCTTAAGAAAAGAAAGTAAACAGAAACTTTCTGTTACAATTATAGCAAGATAACTAACATAATAAGATGACATGTAATCATATGAATAACATGAGAAACATCTTGCAGAATTACTATGATATAATGCAGATACAAACATACAGCATCATCAAATCATTATGCATTTACAACCTGGAAAGTGCATCAGCACAAACATTGTCTTTGCCTTTAATGTGCCTAATCACAAGATTGAACCCTTGCAAGGTCAAACTCCACCCCATAACTCTTTCATTCTTGTTCTTCATGTTGTGAAGAAAAGTCAAGGCATTGTGATCAATAAACACTTCAATCGGAAAAGTAGTGGTACCTAGGTACACTTCAAAATGTTGCAAAGCTAGCAAATTACCTAAAGTCTCTTTCTCAATGGTAGAATAATTTCTTTGATGCTTATCAAACTTCTTGGAAAAATAACAAACTGGGTGTTCAATTCCTGAATCATCCTCTTGAATCAGGACAGCACCTGCACCTACATCACTTACATCGATTTTTACATCTCAAAATTTGGTGCCTGCAATACTGGAGTATGGCTTTGACTTTTTAATGCAGTCTGACAACTGCTCCCCCACTTGCATTTTACCTTTTTCTCCAAAAGGTTGGTAAGTGGTGATACAAATCTGAGAAATTTTGACAAAACTTTCTATAATACCCACGAATCTCATGAATTCTCTCTTATACTGAGGTACTGGAAAGTGTACAATTGCTTTAACCTTAGCATGAACTTGCTGTACCTGGCCGTGCTCTACAACATGCCCTAACAATTCAACCTGTGCCTTCCCAAATGCACGAGTTCTCTTGACATGTTCTTCCCACTCCATGTCATAATTGATGACAGCATCCATGTAAGCTTCGACACTATCAAGACCAGATGTGACATAGTTGACGAGTCTCTGGAACGTCGCTGGTGCGTTCTTCAGACCAGACGGCATCACTGTATTGATACAGTCCATCTGGTGTACCGAATGACGATATATTCTTCGCACGGTCTGTGAGTGGAATCTGCCAGAAGCCCTTCAAACTTACTTATATATCTAGCGTGACCAATGCGATCAATGCAATCGTCAACTCTCGGAATAGGATAAGAATCCGTTCGTGAGAGCGCATTGACAGCTTTCAGGTCAGCACAGTTACCACCTCTACCACTCTTCGGCACAAGAACACAAGGTGATCTCCACGGACTGTCAATGGGTTCAATAATGTCATTGTCCTGCATGTAATTCAGCACAGCATCACCTACATCTATGTCATGGCTAACAACATTAGTTCGGCCAGGCATATCAGGATATAAGTGAGAGAACTCATGAATCAAATCTGTCATTTGAGCTTTCTTCTCAGGGGATAAATAATAATAATAATAATAATATTAATGCTAATTTTTGCGCCTAGACTCCAACGCGATGCTGTTCTCTGGCGTTACATTATTACCGTGGCGGAATTGTACTTTCAAAGCTGCTACTAAGCGCTAAGCGCGACCGTATAGGTCCGTACATCAGCTTTTCAGGTTCCCATTTTAAACAGGTGAGTGGACTGAGTGCAATGTGGACGAAGTGCCTTGCCCAGGGACACAACACAGTATGAGACCCAGGTCACAATTTTGGTGTCTCCACCGGGATTCGAACACGGGCCTTTGGCGTGAGAGGCCAGCATGCTAACCACTGCACCACTGTGCTCCACATGTGATAGCTTCCCATCAATGTGAGCTAACACATCAGAATTTCTTAACTTTGGTGAAACATTATCACTAAGGTCAACAAACTTCACATTGCAAACACCATCATCAACATTTTCAACATGTGACATTGCATAGGTTCGAAGGTTTCGAAGGTTTTTTATTTTCTCAACTTCCACCAACGGTGGTACATGAGTGAAGTGGAAACAAAGTTATATACATATATACACAAAGATGGCATCGGAGAGATATAATTGAGGTAGGATAATGTACAATACAATATACATATATATTCATATATACAAGGTCGTCATTAGAGAATGATGCAAACATTTAATTACATGTATTTATATCTAAACTTCTATTGATACATTTAATAAATTTTGACAAATCTTTAACATATTTAGCTTTCTTTGAACAAAGTAATATTTTATGTGTATAAAGGTTGGGCCATGTATTGACGTACTGAGGTATGTACAGCTGTCGCTGTTGGTGAAGAATTTGGCACCTGAAAAGATAGTGAAACTCATCACCAACAGCGGGTGAGTTACATAATGTACATAAACGATCATTTCTAGGGGTATTTGTCCACCGGCCAGTTTCAACAGGTAGATAATGGTTACTAGTTCTAAATTTAAGAATAGGCAAGTAAATTGATTTTGGCATAAAAAGGTACGGTTCAAAAGATAAATCCTGTTTATAATATTTGTAATAAAATCCCTTAGAACTTCTACGGAACTTCTCCAATTTTGTACATTTTGGTCCTTGAGTATCTGTTCTACTGTTGAGGCTAGCAACGTGGTAGTGCAAATGGAAGGATTATCATATATTTCATTTAACCCGCAATCATTAAGAATATGTTTAACAAATGAAAACCATCTCAGTCTATCTAACATATCTGGGACATTAACCTGGATATAATTATGCAGCGTACTGGAGATTTTCAAAGTACTGGTACAAGTAGCGATCTTATGCCAAAAGGTTATTACTCGTTTATATATTTTGATATAAATTGGCTCTCTACCAAATTCACCATAGAAAGCAAAGTCTGGAGTTGAGTTTCTTTATGAGGAAATTAGTTTTAGGAATTTTAGGTGTAATTTTAGGAAGAGCATATGACTTGGCTATAAAATGTCTTTATCGAAGCATATATTTTGCCATCAAAACACTTTAAGGCAGTATCGTCGCTACTGCTTAGCGTTCATTCAGTGCAATTGCACATGTCAAATAAGGTCTTATTTTTGGCAATTATAATTTGCAAACGGATGTGCATTTAACGAACTTAAATTCGTTGCTTCTTGCTTCTATCTACTTCCATTTTTTTATATTATCTGGTCTTCTGTTGATGTTTTTTTGAAAATCCTTACATAGGTCCTTGAACCAAAGTCATTGTTTCTCTGCAGGATAATTCAGCTTAGTCAAACTGTCACAATATTTAGGTTCTTACAATTCTGTTTGCACTGGTTACGCCTTTTGGTAAGGTAACTCCTTTTGATTTTTATCAATCACAGAGTGTTAGCAGATTCTGACTGTTTGTTTAATCAGTAAACAGTAGTTTATGACAAAGAATCCGAACAAACCGAATCCATCCATCCACAGGTTGTTGTGGACCTCAAGCCTCACCCTGAATCCGTACCATTTACGAATGTTCTTTATTTCGTTACGCCGCACTCATACACTCATACATGCATCAACCAAGTCAGCGAACCTGACCACCTTATTCCTTTATTGTGTGAAACATTTATTTCCCAAAACGTATCTCTGTTTTGGTTTCAGTAACTAAAAGCGACAAAGCCCTTTCCACATTCATAAGAAATCTCTCCTAAAAGCAGAGTCGATTGTTCAATTGGGACTATATCATGAGCAGATATTTGTTTCAGCATTATTACAGCTGTACTATGCTGTGCAAGACAAAACATATTGGAAGCGAACTCTATTTTAACATTATTATCAGTTGGTCATTGTCCACGTATGGATAACTGACCTCGCGTAC